GAAACCAAGCATTGCTCTTACCATCACTGGACCCAAAGCTTCCATCAGTGGATTTTCTGTGAAACCTGCAAACAAACACATACACATGCTCCTAAGACAGCGAAAACCTCAGCATTTTACATTTGTTCCTTATAGATTTTGTTGCAGATTTGTCTACTAGGGTCTCTTCAAAACATGTCTGGGGCCAGGCGCGATGGCACACGTCTGTAATCCCAGCACTTTGGGAGGACAAGGCTGGCGGATCACAAAGTCAAGAGTTCGAGACCAGCCTGGCCAATATAGTGAAACCCTGTCTCTACTAAAAATACAAAAATTAGCTGGGTGTGATGGCGGGCGCCTGTAGTCTCAGCTACTTGGGAGGCTGAGGCAGGAGAATTGCCTGAACCCAGGAGGCAGAGGTTGCAGTGAGCTGAGATCATGCCACTGCACTGCAGCCTGGGCGACAGAGTGAGATTCTGTCTCAAAAAAAAAAAGAAAGAAAAAACAAACAAACAACAACAAAAAAACACATGTGTTTAGATATGGAGAAATTGGAACTCTGATACATTGCTGGTGGGAATATAAAATGGTGCAGTCACTTTGGAAAAGTTTGTCAGTTTCCCAAAAAGTTAAACAGAGTTACCATATATCCCAGCACTTTCATTCTCAGTCATATACATCGTTTATTCATTCATCAGTTTTCAGATGTAATTCACATACCATAAAATTCACCCTTTAAAGTGCATAATTTAGTGAGTTTTAATATTAGATTGGTGCAAAAGTAATTGTGATTTTGCTTTCAAAAATTATGGCAAAAAGGCAATTACTTTCACACCAATCAAATACATTCACAAAGTTGTATAGCTCCCACCACTATTGAATTCTAGAATATTTTCATCATCCCCAGAAGAAATTTCAAACCCATGACCAGTCACTCCCCATCCCCTGGAAAACACTAATCTACTTTCTGTCTCTATAAGTTTGCCTATTTTGGACATTTCATTAAAAATGAATCATATTATATGCGAACTTTTGTGTCTAGTTTCTTTCACTTAGTATAATGTTTTCAAGGTTCATCCATGCTGTAGTATGTATCAGTACTTCAGTCTTTTTATGGCTGAATAATATTCCATTGTATGGATATACCACATTTCATTGACATGCTTGCACTTAATGGATATTTTGGTTGTTTTCATATTTTGGCTGTCATGAGTAACACTGTTATGAACATTTGTGTACAAGTTTTTGTGTGGACATATGTTTTCAATTATCCTGGGTATATAGCTAGGAGTGGAATTGTTGAGCATGAGATAACTCTATGTTTAACTTTTTTTCCAAATTGTTTTCGACAGTGGCTGTATAGCAAAAACAGTCTTTCATCTCCAGAGTCTTGCTCTGTTGCCCAGGCTGGAGTGCAGTGGTGTGATCTTGGTTCACTGCAAGCTCTGCCTCCTGGGTTCACCCCATTCTCCTGCCTCAGACTCCCATATGTCTTTCTTTATGTCAGTACCAGAATCCTGATGACTGCAACTTTGTAATAAGTTTGATATCAGAAAGTGCAAATCCTTCAACTTTCTTCTTTTTTTTTCAGGATTGTTTCGGCTTCTGGGTCCCTTTCATTTTCATATGAATTTTAGGATCAGTTTGTCAATTTCTGTGAAAATGCCAGCTGGGACTTTGCAAGGGATTGTGTTGAATTTGTAGATTAATTTGAGGAGTATTGTCAAGTATATTAGTTTCCTACTGCTGCTGTAACGAACTCACAGACTTAGTGGTTTAAAACAATACAAGTTTATTATCTTACAGTTCTGGGAGTCAGAATATCAAAATGTGCCTTGTATGGCTAAAATAAAGGTGTCAGCAGGCCTGTACTTCTGGAGGCTACAGGGGAGTATTCATTTTCTTGTCTTTCAAGCTTCTAGAGGCAGCCTGCATTTCTTGACTCATGGCCCCTTCCTCCGTCTGCAAAGTATATCATTCCAACCTCTGCTTCCTTTGTCGCATTTCCTTCTTCTGCCTTTGACCTTTTTGTCTCCTTCATAAGAATTCTTGTGATTACCTTAGGTCCACGTAGATAATCCAAGATAATCTTCATAACTTTGTCACATCTACCAGTTCTTTTTGCCATGTAAGGTAACATATTCACAGGTTCTAGAGATTAGACATAGACACCTTCTGGGGACCATTATTCTATCTGCTGCATTATCTTAGCAATATTAAATCTTCCAGTCTATGCACATGGGATGTCTTTTCATTTGTTTAAATCTCCTTTAATTTATTTCAATGATGTTTTGCAGTTTTCAATGTACAAGTCTTACACTGAATTTGTTAAATTTACTCCAAAATCTTTTCTTATTTTGTGTGCTTTTGTAAATGGAATTGTTTTCTTAATTTTATTTTTGGATTGCTCATTGCTAATGTAGAGAAATACAAATGATTTTTTGTATATTGATCTCATGCAATCTTGTTAAACTCGGAGTTTCTTTTTGGAATGATGAAAACATTCTGAATTAGATCATGGGATGGTTATGCAACTGTGAATATACTAAAAATCACAAAATTGTGTACTTTAGAGGGGTGAATTTTACGGTCTATGAATTATATCTCAATAAAGTCATTATTAACAAACAAACTATACCATTTGGGAATGTCCATCAAGAATTAAAATGTGAATTATTCTCTCCAAATGAAGTTGGAGGGTGTGAGAGGAAAGTTGGGGACCAGAAATGCCCGTGTTTTGGTACATTCTCTTATTACTTCCAGATGGGAACTCTAGAAGTTGCATATCCTGATTTTGGTATGTTTGGTTGCAGAACTTCTCTTCATAGCTCTTTTGTGCCTAGACATACCAAATTCCTGAATGGCAGGGGGCCTTGGCTTTTGTTCTCAACCTGGGTCACTCTCTCTCCAGATCCTTCCATGGCTGGCTCCTTCTTGCCATTCAGGTCTTGGTTATGAGAGACCTTCCCTGCCAACCAAATCTACTCGAAAGTAGCTTCTCCAATCCAATCGTTCTTTATCATACCAATGTGTTTTTTCCGTCAGTACCTGGAATGATTTTCTTTATTAATTGCTTACTTGCTTGTATATTTCTTCCCTCTAAAATGTAAGCTCTATCACAGCAGAGATATATACTGTTTCATTCACTATAATATATCTCCAACTTCTAGGGTATAGCTGGCACATAGATGATCACTAAATATTTGTTGAATGAATGACGCATATCTTTAAGAAGAAAAGTTGGTCAGGTGCAGTGGCTCACGCTTGTAATTCCAGCACTGTGGGAGGCCAAGGTGGGTGGATCACCTGAGGTAAGGAATTCAAGAGCAGCCTGACCAATATGGTGAAACTCTGTCTCTACTAAAAACAGAAAAATTAGCCAGGCGTGGTGGCACGCGCCTGTAGTCCCAGCTACTCAGGATACTGCGAAAGGAGAATTGCTTGAACCCAGGAGGTGGAGGTTGCAGTGAACTGAGATC